CAGATAAAAATCTCTAAATGGGTATCATATTAACATTATTTAGAGTCACTGCTCTACATGTTTTTGTTTTTCTTCAAATTTCCTTTAAGGTAATTTTATTTACATCCTTTTTTCTTTGCTATGCGTGACTATGTTATTCTTTTTCTTTATGATCTGATATTCTTGAACCAAGTTTCCTATTACTTGGCTTCAATAAATCCCTAATCAGCTAAAATTGCATTATTTTAGCTTTTCACAGCATATAATAAAATCTGCATTTGTTGTAATTATTTTCCCTATTGTAACAATATCATTTATTTTGTAACTTTAAATAAGAATGCCATATAAATATATGATATAATTACCTCCACCTGGTATTCAATGACGCACCTTCATTATGAATGTTTACCCAGACGATGATGAAACATTGCAATGTGGAAAATTCCTCCTGTGGGAAACATTGCACACAGGCGTATATTAACTTTGTGTTCAATGACAAACATTTCATGCAATCACGAAGGAGAAATTAGTTTCACTGTTCCCTGAAAGTTACCTCAGAGCACTTTCTGGCCTAACCACTTGGCACTTTTGCCAGATCTCTTAATGTTTAAGGGACTCCAGCATTGCCCGACGGGACCATTTTACTAAGGCCCCATAAAATCAACAACAAAACTACTTTATCTACCATATGTGATTTTGTTTCTATGCTTTCTTTAATCCAATCCACAATGTATGGGCCTCACCCATGAAAATACGCATCGTAACTTTGCACTTTCATAAAAACATTCCGGAAGATCTAAAAGATGCCAGCTTTTCTTTACTAATAACTTTTTCCACAGAAGCAAGATATATGCAGGATATCAGGCCCCTTTAATTCTGACCCAAGTTCAAAGAAGCTTCAAATTTCATCTTATTTTTGGTGGAAAATTTGTGTCAAGAAACAGAATGACTTCTCTTCACAAACACAGGACTTGCGAAATCTCAGTGAGGGAGAAAAGACCACAGGACTCAACATGTGAAGCTGCTCTGCTTGATGGGAGCTCAGAGAGCTTGAATGAGAGTTTCTTAGAACCATCACTGTAACCTGCTGTCAGGGAGCTATTGTGATTTCACCTTTGGCCATATTAGTTGCCAGTGCTGCCTATTCACTGATATTGCATGTCTATTAAATTTTCTTCTGAGTGATGTTTAATATCTCTCGAGTCATTAAGACACCAAAGTGTGACATTAATATTCCAAAGTGCAGGGTATCTAACTCACATTCAGAGAACAGTAATCTCCCAGATAAGAATTGGTTCATTATTTATTTGTATTCTATAGCGGAAACAGTTCATCCTGGTAGTCTACCACCATGGGACACCACTCCCCCTCGTCAGGCATCTGTTTGTTAGTCTGTAAAATGAAAGTTTTTGACTAGATGATCTCTAGAGTGTTTCCTACCTCTGACCTTCTTTTATTCTATGATTCATTATATAATTTCATGGATAAATATCCAAGCAGTTTACTTTTTTTGTAGCTTCACAATATCCTTCTTAAAAATGA